AAATGCTCAACGGACGCATGGTAAAGGAAATGTAGTTACGAGGTCGACGGATTAAATAGAGGCGCGCGTCGTCGACTTAGTCGCTGATCAAATGGAGCAAGCACTTTGCCAAGTTCGCAGTCGAGTTGTGTGTCGCACAGAGGTTGCCGCCGCGCAGGCGCTTCTCGGCGCAGCCCGCGACTTGGCAGCAAAACTGCGACGAGTGGAACGTGCAGAACCCGAGGCGCTCGGACGCGTGCTTGCACGTGGGGTAGATGCACGACGCATTGTTGTTCGGTGACGGTGCATACCCTTCTTGCTTGAGCGCAACCGAGAGTGGCGGGAGCGACCACGGCATCATCTCCATCGGCGACTTGAGTTCCGGCACGCCGTTGCCGCCATGACTGTTAATGTTGTTGGACAAGGTGTCCTTGCGCAGCGGCGACATGTTGTGGATCGTCTTGAGGTTCTTGGATTTGATCTTGTCGATCACAGACAGCGACAGGCGCGAGTTCATGGACGGCTGGCGCGGCGGCGTCTCCGTGCCGGTCGTCGTGCACGTGCTCGACGTCTCGCTCGCCGACATGGAGCGCATCCAGCGCGGGCCCCCGCCGTGCGCGCGGCACTTGCCACCGCCCTGGCTCGACTTCATACAATCTTTAACGTCGCAGCGCACGCCGCCACCATGCGCCTTGCAAAAGCGCTTGGACTGCGCGCTCTTGTCGCAGCCCTCTTGCTCACAGCGCTTGCCGCCACCGTGGCGGATGCAGTAGCCGCCGCCTTGGTCGCTGAGGTTGCAGCCATCGCGGCCGCAGCGCTTGCCACCACCATGCGCCTTGCAGAGGCCTTTCGAGCGGGCGCCGCTCGCGCAGCCATGCACGATGCACTTTTTGAGCTTGCGCTTCTTCTTGGCGCCGTCGACGTAGACGCTGGCCGACTCCATGCTCATGACGAGGTCGTGGAGGCCTGCGACGGCGGACGCGAGATCCGGCTTCAGGGCGGACGACATGGCTCTCGAAAGGTCGGTTGGGAAATGATGGCCATGGCGTCCGTCTTGCATTTTCTACACCGTCGTAAAAGGACCCGTTTCAGCACCCCGTTTATCTCGTGTTCTAAAAAGGCCAACGCGCTGATTGGACCGTATTTTCTACGCGCCGCGTTGATTGGCTGCCGCTTTGGACAGCGCATGCTGATTGGAGAACTGCACTGCGGATCTTGGCCGGCCGTTTGGGCATGAAACTCCTTGTCTGCTAGGAATATGCGAGAGCGGTTTTTCTGTCGCCCACGATTACTATATAACGGTATGTGTGTCGCGTACGAAAACCGACAAGCGGAAGCACTGGGATGCCCGACAACTCCAAGCCGGCGGCCGGTGTAACCCCTCGGTCTATTTTGGCCGCTTTTTTATTTATAGAAAGCCCGTGGATCTTTTGTTGTAACGGACAGTGAACCCTCGCGAGCAGGGAAAGGCCACCTGTGCCAAGCGGCCGACCGAGCCACCACACCGCGGGCGACGGCCCACGCCGTGGCCTGCGTAGGACGATGGCTGCGGACGACGAGTGAAGCAGGTGGCGGCGGGGTCAAGCAGGCGAGCCGATCTCATTCTACAGGACTGTGCTGCATTGCAGGAGCGGCAGGTGGCAAGGACCACGGAGCTGCAACGAACCTCCTTGCATTGGCCTTGCACAGCTGTGCTTAGGAACAGGTAGCATGTTTGCAAGGGCGATCGCGCTGCTTTAGCCCATCCCGCCGGTCAACACCACAGCGTCGTAGTCACACGAGTTCGAATTAAAGAGGCTGGTCGAGGCGCCACTCGACACGCTCGACCGCCTCCGTGAGCTGGTGAAGACGACTTCCGTTGGTTTCCATCGTGTACATGAGGTCCGATTGGCGCTCAGAGAGCAATCGCTGGGTCGAAATGGTCTGCTCGAGGAGGGTCCAGAAGAAGGCTTCGGTCGCGGGCCGGCCGTCGGTCGTGTTGGCACGGGCCGCGCGGGGTGCCACGACGTCGTGCGACGGCCCGTCGACGGACCTTGCTCGCTGCTCGCGCGGCGCGTGCGCCAGCTACACATGCCGTTATCCCGACTGCTCCTTCTTTGTGCTCTACCTCTTGGAGCTTGTCGAGCCAATTCGCAATCATATTGGCTTCGTGGATCTCACGGTGCTGGGGCACAATGACCGAGATCTTGGCGCGGCCTTCGTCATCGCTCGGGCTTAGCATCCATCCAAAGCAAAACTCGGGCACGAGGTCGTCCCGAAGCTGCATGCCGAGGTAGACGGCCGCGCCGTTTGGGTAGTCGCGCGCATGCGTGAGCAGTGGGTACTGCTTGGCGCGGGTCCATGAGCTCCCTACAGTCCATCGATCACACCACTGGACACAGGCAGCGAGGATGGCTACCTGGCTGGAACACAACGTTGTGCATGGTCGTGCGGCCATCGATGGGCTGGTGGCTCACATACTGCGCGAGGCAGTTGCTGTAGATTTGCATTTGCGGCAGCTGCACGAGCGTCGCCCACGACGGGCTGCCCGGCATCGCCGTGAGCTCGCGTGTCGCCTTGATATACCCGTGCTGGTAGCGTTCGTGAAACGTATGGAACTGGACCCGCCGATCGGCAACGACGACGCTCGTCGGTTCCCACGAGCACCCGTGCAAGATACGGTACAGCTGCAGCATCGACTCGACCGCATCGTCGTATGCTGGCAAGTGCTGCGCCGACGACGGCAACTCGATCGTTTGGTTCGAGTCGCTGCAGAGCGTATCGCGCGGCGAGACGTACAGGGCCTTCTGAAACTCATTCTACGCATATGTGGTGTCGATGCGCAGTACAGGGAGGCCACATACCATGGGCGTGCAGGGCGCCGTGCCATCGCCATCACCATCGGATTCGTCGACGTCGCTCTTCTCGGGCACGTCGAGCGAGAGGTCTGTTTCTGCCGGGCCTGGCGTTTGGTTGGCTTCCTAGAGGTTGTTCTGGCGTCAGAAAAGAGCAAGAGAGTGGGAGCATACCTTGGCGCGCTGCTCGAGAACTTCGGCAGCGATCCGCGCGACCGACTCGAGCGTATTGCGCTGGCTCAGGTTGGTGCTGCCGTGGGGCTCCATGTCCATGGCCACGAGTGCGCCGAGCACGACGCCCTCGACGACGATCGGCGTGCCTGCAAAGTACCGCAGGCCTTGGTCGCGCAACATTGCATCGTTTGCCTCCGAGAGCACAAGCGTCGCATTGTGGCGCCAGACAGGCGCGCAGAACTGGATGAGGTTGTCGCTGGACGGATCGAGGCCGCGGCTGGCTTGGACATGCAAGCCCTCCGGGTCCAGAAGGCCCAAGAACACGATCGGGCACCGCAATGACGTGGCCACGAGGTGCACGAGCAGCTTGAGCGTGTCGTCTTGCTCTGGTTGGATCGTATCGGCTTGGCGGGCGACCTCGAGGCGCCACGTGGCCAAATTGGCGTCGTCCCACGGCAGCACGGGCACGGCAAACACGGGCGACGACCTGCAGAGACAAGGTTGGCCAAAGTGCAAAGTGGGAAAGGACGCTACGGTGTCTCGAGGAGCGTTGGACGCAGTGGCGCGGCCGACACGTCGCGTGCGGCGAGCGTCGCGGCGGTGACGCAGATGGTGCAGATACGCGCCGTGAGGTCGACATTGAGTTCGACAAGGCGCAACTTGCGGTGCTTGGAACAACGGCTGCAAATGACCTGTCACCACATTTGCATATCAAGGGAAAGCTCGGCGGGATCGAATCTACCTCGCCGCACTAGACAGCGAGGGCATGAGCGATGGTAGTGGTCATGGCCTTTTCGTACCGTCCGGCAGTGGTGGCGCCGCTTGAACGCGTAAAACTGCTGGACGCATACGCTGCAGTGGCTGCGGTCGCGGTCGAGGATCCAGTCGTCGATCGTGATGAGGTTGCCGACGGCGAGGAGGCCCGCGTCCGCATAGTACATGCACGATCCGCGGCGACGCATCTTGGGAAATGACCGAAGCGAAACTGGTCGTGGAAGAAATGATAGGCAGTTCGATAATCCTGAATTATCGAAGGCGAGGCTGAGTACACCATCTGGGCATGCCTGCAAGAGCTCCCTTCAAGTCCACCCGCCGAACGCTCGCAGACTCGTCCTTCTACGCTGGCACGAAATCTAGTTCACGTTTTTTGGCGCCAAGGGAAGAATAATCCCTAATTTGGCGCCTACGAAAAGGGTTGCGCGTGCATTTCAGAGCCAGAGGTGGCAATGCACGATAGCAAGCCACTTCCTTCTAGCCTGCAAGGTGCAAGTAGGTAAGGACGGTCGAGTGCGCTGGCCATCGTTGCCATTCGGCTGGAGCACCGAGCGCTTTGCCGACCTTCAAGCCTACGGTGTCGACGAAGCGAGAGGCAAAGGTAGTGCAACGATGCTCATCGTGCGCTTGTGACTGATCGACCTTGGCGTCGTCCATGTCACATCTCGGATCGTCAAACGTCAGAAAACATGGTCGGACCATCCTTGCCCGTCGTTGTACGCGGATGTGCTGCTTCTTGTGGGGATCGAGAACGGGCGGAGGCTTCTTCGGCGATGCTTCCATATCCAATTTTACTACATTTGCTAGTCCACTGCGTGCTACTGGTGCCGGAGGAGCCGACTGACGCACGTCAAGCCACTCGAAGTCCATCTGCTTCTCGAATCCTGCCAGGAGAAAGACACGCGAGCCGGCTTTCCCAGCTGACTAAAAACACCAAACCCAAGTGGATTTCGCCGGCGCTCGTACCTTGTACAATGCACAAAGCCTAGGATGTACATGTGCATTGCATGCGACATCGTCGTGTCTAGCACCATGCAAGGCCATAGCCAGCATGTCCTCGGCGATCCTTGGTCGGTGGCGCTGTCTCGCACGCGGCGAAGCCAAACGATTTGGCCGTAAAGGGGCGTGTTTCTATCCAATTGCCCGGCACCCCAAATGCTATGGTATCCGGTCGCGCTATCCGGCGCCTCCTCAGTAGATCTTTTGACCGAGGAGCGAAGGAGTCGGATGAAGGACGAGCCGCAGTCCAAGCCCCGGTCCACCAAGAAGACCCGAGAAGCCTCCAAGACGAGGGAAGCAGCCGACGACCGGCCCATGGACATCAGCCGCGTCTGCCGCGTGGCCGTGAGCCGCCGGGGCGTCGTGCGGGACATGCTCTTGCACCCCGACATGCCCGTTGAGGACCTCCATGCCTGCCTCCGGGCGATCTTCCCGGACGTCGGGACGCCGATCGCGCTCAAGAACGAAACCGACACGCTCTTCCCGCTCTCGCTACTCGCGCACCACCCGGGCGCGTTCAGCGCGGCCCGCAAGGTGCATGCGCACGCCCACGTCCACGCGAGCTCGCTCGAGCTCATCTGTCTTGGCGACCCGGACGTCAGCTACGCAGAGATCACGCGCTCGCAGCGCGTCGGATGGCACGACGAAGCACCGGCTCTGGACCTTTCGGAATACACGCTGTCGCAGCTCATTGACACGTTTCGGGCGGCGGCGCCCACCGGCGGTCTCGACCGTAGCTCGTTCATCAAGTGCTTGGCGCAGCTCTGCCACCGCAGCGACCACGATGTCTTTTCGCGCTTCTTTGACCTCTTTGATAAGGACCGCAACGGCGTCGTCGACGTCGTCGAGTTTGTGAGCGGCCTCTCGGTGCTCGTGCACGGCGACCGCGACGAGAAGATCCAAGCTACGTTTGCGCTCTACGACACGAACGGGGACGGCTACATCTCGCTCGAAGAGATGACCACGTACCTCACGTCCGTCTACCTTGTCGTTGCCGAGCTCAACCCGGCCGTCTTCCTCTCCAACCGGTACATGCATGTTCTCTGTGGTTGTCGTATTCATGTATTGGGTAGTGTGGATCCAATCCAGCTGGGCCAGGTCACAGCGCAGCAGTGCTTTGACGAAGCCGACTTGAACCACGACGGACGTCTCTCCTTCCACGAGTTTCAGCAGGTACACTCCATCCATGCAAGCACCGTTCCAACGCGTCCTCTTCTCTTGGTAGTGGTATGCGCGTACCAACCAACAGGCGCCGCAACACGCCCGAGCGCTCAAAATGCTCAACCAAAAGCAGACGCACGAGCATGCGTCGCAGCCCATCCAGGTTCATGACGATGCCATTGCTAGTCTCATCCCCGACGTAGGTCAAGTGGACGCTGGAGGCGGTCCGGGACATGACGGGGCTCGGCGACTACACTGTCGAAGAAATGCTCGCACAGTTTCCACACTCGCGGTCGCTCTCGGAGAGCGACTTTGTTGCAATGATGACGCGCATTCTCCAGCGGCAGCGCAAGCCCGTGAGCGTCGAGATCGCATCGCTCCTCAAGCGCTTGTACAAGCTCTTTTCGGACCCGAACGAGCTGCGCACGGGCTTGAGCATCCTGTGCGCGCCGGACGTGGACGCGGTCTTTGGCCTCGTCGACACGAACGGCGACGGGCAAATCTCGATGGACGAGATGACGGCGTACTTTCGAGCCGTCTTTCGTGTCTTGCACGGCGTCACCAACGTCCACGTGCCGCTGGCGCCAGACGTGCTTGCGACGTGCACGGCGCAGCAGATGTTTCACGACTTTGACATGAACCGGGACGGTATCTTGAGCCGCCTTGAGTTCCAAGCCTGGTAGCAAAACCCTTTCTCCATATCGACGCGGTATTGATCGCCATCTCTTAGGTATGCAACCCCGACGGCGGCGTTGCCCAAGCCTGCGCCGCTCTTTCCCAACCACGCGGCGGTCGGGACGATCCACGTCGCGCCGTCGACGATGACGCTCGAGCGTGTCGGCAAGCTCACGAACCTCTGGACGCGCCACCCCGTCGATGTCTTTGAGATCCTCGCGCTGTACGTCAACGGCGACGGTGTCCTCGATCGCACCGCGTTTTACCACGCGTTTGAGCGACTGATGCAGGGCGGGTCGGCCGAAGCAGAGACGCCGCAGGTATGTCCATAGGTCTGTCTTGTAACCCTAGCCATGGACGACGTAGGTGATTGCGCGGCTCTTTTCCGCCTTTGACAGCGACGGCAACGGGGTCGTGGACTTTTGCGAGCTGAGCTCAGGCTTGAGTCTTCTTTGCGCCGGGTCGCAGAGCGAGAAGGTCGAGGCAGCGTTTGCCTTGTACGACGTCAACAAGGACGGATTCATCTCGTACCCCGAGATGGTAAGCTACCTCACGGCCGTCTTTCGCGTGCTTGCCGCCTTTGCGTCGACGCCACTGCCCCTGTCGCCCGAGAAACTCGCCGAAGTGACTGCCCAGGACGCGTTCGTGCAGTACGACGCCAACCGGGACGGCCAACTCAGCTACGACGAGTTCACGTCGTGGTACTCGACGCCCGTTCCGAGCGCGCCCCCCGCACCGCTCACGCCCGATCTTTCGCTGCTTCGTGACGTGCGCGAGCTCACGTGCCTCGGGCAGTACGCGGTCGACGACATCTTTGCGTTTTTCCAAGCGTCGGCCAAGGAACATGGTGTCTTGACGAAAGCTCAGTTTTTCCGGTGCTTCAACAAGCTCTTGAGCAAGACAACGACGGCACCGAAAGCGTCGGTCAAAGCCACACTCGACCGCCTCTTTGTACTCTTTGACGCCGATGGCAACGGTAGCGTCGACACGAAGGAGCTCGCGGCCGGCCTCTCACTGCTCTGCGGCGTGCGTTCTTGATGTTGCTAGCTCCGAGGACGCTTATGGTTGTGGATGTGTAGGGTTCGGCCAAAGAAAAGGTGACCGCGGCCTTCTCGCTCTTTGACACGAACGGCGACGGCTTTATTTCTCAGTCCGAGATGGAAACGTACCTCACGGCGGCGTTCAAGATCCTCTTTGAGACCGCGCCACACCTGCCGCAGCAGCTCGGAACTGACTCGCCGATCGCCGTGGCCAAGGCCACAACTGCGCAGTGCTTTGCGTCCTGCGATACAAACCGCGACGGCAAGCTGAGCTTGGATGAGTTTAGTGTCTGGTACCAAAACCCGGGCGCGGTGCGGACAGCGGGTCCACGCCCAGTTTCGATTCCGGAGGCGCAAGCTACTCTCGGTAGCACACAATACGTCGTAGGATGCGCTCTCACACATGGCTAGGCATGCAAGGCATGTCCACGCGACAGCTCATCGCTGCACTTGGCAACGCGGCACGCAAGCCCGTGACCAGTGGTGGTATCCTCAGCGTTCTTGGCTTGCACGGAGCCCGCGCCGCGCCGGCCAACGTATTCGAATGCTTTTCTTGGATCGTCGTTTGACAGGTGGTAGGAGCTACTGGAAGCGCTGCTCACGGCCCTCGCTGCCTCCGTGGCCGTGCGCGTCACGTGGCCCGATGTCGTCGCTGGGCTATCGGTGCTTGCACACGACGCATCGCAGGACGACAAAGTGCAAGCGGTCTTCGCCCTCATTGACCGCAACGGCGATGGGCGGCTCTCTCAAGCCGAGCTCGCGCGGTATTTCACGGCCGTCTTTAGCGTCATGTACGTGCTCGAGCCGCAGAAGCAGTCGACACTTGGAGGCGTCGGGCCTGTCGCCCTTGCCGAGGCAACCGCCGCCACGACCATGGCCGAAGCCGACACGGACCGCGACGGCTCCGTCTCGTTTCCCGAATTTCAGCGGTTTGTAGCGATGGGATGCATGCATGGCTTCACGGATCGATGTGTATGTAGATGGTACGCGCCGGGACCGACCTCGTTGGCGGACTTTCGGCGTGTGACGCACCTCGGCGGCTTGGACGTGGACGACGTTTTTGAAACGTTTGCCGACTACGCGGACGATGCGGGCTTGATTTCGTTTGAGCGATTCCACGACGGCTTGCTGAGCCTTGCGGGGCACAGTCCGGACCCGAGTTTGTCGACGGTGGCGTCGCGGCTCTTTCACGCATTTGACCAAGACCAGAACGAGCGCGTCGACTTTAGCGAGCTCGCGTCCGGGCTCTCCGTGCTCTGCAAAGGGTCACGCGACCTCAAAGTTAAGGCAGCCTTCTCGCTCTACGACTACAACGGCGACGGGTATGGTCGACTGGATGGTTACCATTTTTGTACTCCTGTGTTTGTAGATACATTTCCATGGACGAGATGGTCCGGTACTTGACGTCCGTCTTCCGCGTCCTGTATGAAGTGTCGCCGGGCATGGCCACGGAGACGGGCGTCTCGGCCGCCGAGCTCGGCGCCGCGACAGCCAAGCAGGCCTTTGTCGAGGCCGATACCAATCATGACGGCAAGCTGAGCTTGGAAGAGTTCACCGAGGTGCGTGTCTCTAGTACAGCAAGATCGCTCAGCAACGACGATGGTTAGTGGTACAAGCAGCCGCTGAACGCAAGCGCTGAAGAGATGGCTGTCGCGACCGGCAAGCGCTTGACTCTGGAACAGCTCCAGCACGCGACGAACCTCGTGCACTTTTCGGCCGAGGAAGTCTTTGAGCTCTTTGCCGAGGCGGCCAACGAAGACGGCAACTTGACCAAAGAGTCGTTCAATCAGTGCTTTGCGACGCTCATTCCGAATGCGCCGGCCGACGTTCGCGGCTTTTTGAACCGCTTGTACGCGCTGTTTGAAGTGGACGGCATTGTCGACTTTTCCGCGCTCAGCAGCGGCCTCTCGGTGCTCTGCGGCGGCTCCAAAGAAGACAAGGTCCGCGCCGCGTTTGCGCTCTTTGACTTTAACGGCGACGGGTTCATCTCGCAAGACGAAATGACGCGGTACCTCCACTCGGTTTTCCAAGTGCTTTACGAAGTGGGTGCGCACACGGTCAAGGATGTGACACCGCTCGAGCTCGCGACTATCACCGCCGAGCAGGCATTTGACGAGGCCGATCTCAACCACGACGGCAAGATTAGCCTCGACGAGTTCAAAAAGTACGTCCTTGTCTTGTGTACCATGATGTCATGTGTGTCTAGATGGTACCAGCAGTCGGGTGCCAACGAGAGCCGCGCGACGCTCTTTAGTCTCCAGGAGGCGCGTCGACTCACGCAACTCGAGCGCTTCCCGGCCGAGCATGTCTTTGAAGTGCTCGCCGAGGTCGCCGACGCCAACGGCAACCTCACCAAAGAGGCGTTTGTCCAGTGCTTTGAGTCGCACTTTGTCGTGGGTCCGATTGTGGGGCGTGTCCACGACGTGCTCTCGCGCCTCTTTGGCATCTTTGACGCCGATAACAATGGTGTCGTCGACTTTAGCGAGATCACGGCAGGCCTCACGCTGCTCTGTGGCGGCGCGCGCAAGGAAAAGATCCAAGCAGCGTTCGCGCTGTACGACTACAACCACGACGGCTACATCTCGCTCGAGGAAATGACGCGGTATCTCAGCGCGGTCTTTAAAGTGCTCTACGAAACCGACCCGACGCTGGCCGAGAAGATGCAAGTGACCGCCGACGAGCTCGCGCAAGTGACGGCAGAGCAAGCCTTTTTGGATGCCGACCGCAACCACGACGGAAAGCTCTCGCTCGATGAGTTTGAGACGTGGTACACGCAGTCGAACGGCCTTCCGACCACCAAGCCAAAGAAGATTATCTCGCTGCCGTCGCTCGCCCAAGTGCGGCACCTGACCAATTTGCACGCGTTCCCGCCATCGCAAGTCGTCGAGTGCTTCCGCCGCGCCGCCCATGACGCGACGGGGCAGCTCTCGCTCGACGACTTTACGTCAGTGCTCCAGAGCTTCGCGACAGGTGATGCGGCCTCTGTCGACGCGGTCGCCACACGGCTCTTTGCGATTTTCGACACGGATGGAAACGGGGTCGTCGACTTTAACGAGCTCGGCGCCGGGCTTAGCGTCCTCTGCGGTACACATCGACGCTTCATGATGCATCTCACGCGTTGCTTTGGATTCAGGCGGCACGCAGGAAGACAAGGTCCGCGCTGCGTTTGCGCTCTATGATGCGAACCACGACGGCACCATCTCCAAGGCGGAAATGGCTCTGTACTTGACGTCAGTCTTCAAGGTGCTCTACGAGAGCTCGCCCGAAACGCAAGCGCGTCTCGCCGGCGTCTCCCCGGACGAGCTTGGCGAAGTCACGGCCGACCAAGCGTTTGAGGAGGCCGATCTCAACCACGATGGGAGCTTGAGCTTTGACGAGTTTCGCAAGTGGTACCTCACACCGAGCGCGTCGGGCCTCAACCATGTCGAGATGCCGTCGTGGGTGAGCCTCGCGAGCGTGCGCGAGCTCACGCAGCTGCACAAGTACGCGCCACAAGACGTCTTCAACGTCATTGCTCAATACGCGAATGACAAGAGGCAACTCGACCGGGCAGCGTTTGAGGCGAGCTTTGCCGCGCTCATCCCGCTGCAGGTAAGAGGACCATCGTCGTCTAGAGGATGGGATCTCATCATTTCCGATGGCGTATTAGAGCATGGACACGGAGGCTCGGTACCGCGTGCATTTGATTTTGGACCGCCTCTTTGAGATCTTTGATGCTGACCAGAACGGACTGGTCGACTTTTTGGAGCTGAGCAGCGGTCTCTCGGTGCTTTGCGGTGGACGCAAGGAGGACCGTGTCAAGGCCGCGTTTGACCTCTACGACCTCAACCACGATGGCGTCGTCTCGCTCGATGAGATGACGACGTACCTCACATCTGTCTTTAAAGTGCTCTTTGAAACCAACCCGGGGCAGCAACCGCCGGACGCGACGCCATCCGACCTGGCGCACGTACGTATCCTATTCGTCTCGTCTTGTGTATGCATACTCATCATGTGCGTAGATCACGGCCGAGCAGTGCTTTGAAGAGGCCGACCTCAACCACGACGGGAAGCTCTCGCTCGATGAGTTTGTGTCGTGGTACTCCAAGACGAATGCCACCGTCTCGGACGCGGGCAGTGCAGTGGCGATGGCTGGCTCGGACGACGAAGCACCAAGCGCAGGCACGTCGACGTCGGCGGGCGGCATGGAGCGCATCCGGTCGCTCCTCAAGCTCGACATGTACGAGGTCGCCGACATTTTCGAGATCTTTGCCGAAGCCGCGCCGTCCGGTGAGCTCAACTTTGCGTCGTTCCGGCAGTGCTTTGAGCACATGGTGGAGCTCGCAGGCGGGTACCCGTCGCCGCAGGCCAAGCAGGAGGCCTCGGTCGTCATTCGCCGTCTCTTTCGCGCGTTTGACCGCGACGAGAACAACGCCGTGGACTTTGGCGAGCTCGCGAGCGGCCTCAGCGTCCTCTCCGGCTCGTCCATGGACGACAAGGTGCTTGCGGCCTTTCGCCTCTATGACATCAACGGCGACGGTAGCTCCCATATCGATGCCGAATGGGTGTTGAACGTTTCTTGGCGATTAGGGTTCATCTCGCTGGACGAAATGGTGAGCTACATGACGTCGATCTTCAAGGTCATGTACGAGACGTCGGACCGCGCCAAAGACAAGATGGGCGTGTCGCCCGAAGAGCTCGCGCGGGCCACGGCGACGCAGTGCTTCAAGGACGCCGACGTCAACCACGACGCGCGCCTGAGCTTTGACGAGTTCAAGCAGGTATCCCTCCTAATGATCGCAACGACACGTCATTGTCTTCTTCCTTGCGTAGTGGTGCACGGCGAGCATGTAAGCAAAGTTAGCCCAGGTGTCACTGCGTAATGCCAAGTCTTTGTATTTGCATGCGAGTAGCCGCGCATGGCACCCCAAGCGTCCCATGCGACTTGACGATGTCACTCTGACACCTGCAACCGAAGCAAGCAGCTTTAGCTTTCCGATCGTCGACTGCACGTAGGTGGAGGAAGGTGATGGTAGTTATAAAATAGAGTGTTGGGATCAAATAATAAAAACTACGGCGCGGGGCTTAGGACATGGAGGCCCTTCGCCGGCGCAGTAAGCCGGGGACGGTCTTGGACGTGTGCTCGTAGAACGCAATGAGCTGGTGCTGCGCCGAGATTGTGTGTTCGAGCAGCCGCTTCTCTTCCTGTGCGCACTCGAGGCTGCGCTTGACGAGCTTGGCGTGCTCTTCAAAGACGTTGGGGCCGTCCTTGTACAAGCGCGCTTTCGCTTCTTCGCGGAGCTCGACAAGGCGTTGCTCCATGTCGATGACGCTCTTCCGGAGCTGCTCGCTCTCGGTTTGCTTGCGCTTGCGGTGGCGGATGTTGTTGAGGCGGTGGCGGTTCTTCTTGGCTTTGGCTTTCTTGACGCTGTCGTCCGAGGACCCGCCCATAAAGTACGTGAGCATGTTGACATCCACCGGCGACGACGTGTCGTCGGTCGAGCCGCTGCGCGGGCTGCTGCCGGCCACCGAGCTCGCGGCCGTCGTCATCGCGCTGCGCGTCGCCGGTCGCCGGCAACTCGTCGCGTCCGGCTCTTGCTTTGTTGGGGCGTCCAAATGCATGTTTGGGGTCTCTCAGATAGAAATCGCGTCAGCCAAGGGGGTGCCCCTCCAGATTCGCTACGGGGACCCTTGAAAACCAAATGAATACAATGGGCAAGAGAGATGAAACAAGTAGGGGCTCCCTTGCATTTTGGTTTTAAGGGGACATGCGTTTGGAGCAACTCACATCATCAGATCGCCTTGATTGCGTGTGGTTGGCTAAATCCTTCACCATGCGATTCATCGCGGCGGCCATCGGCAGTGATGTCGTGATTCCATCACGCAAACCAAGCCCAAAGCGTTAAACGCAAAGAGGCGCAAGGGGTTTGACGCGCTTCGACCGACGTCCATGGTGCGGCGGCAATGAGACCAAGCGAGACCCTCGAGGAGTAGACGCCGCTTAGGGACTTGTGTTGGGGTGCAGTGTGCCCGAGCGGCTCTTGCGCGCGCCGTGCAACGTGCTGGGCGTGTTGGGCGGACGACGGAATGTCGATGTGGCATTTAACGTAATGAGGTTAAATGCGTTTAAACGGTGGGATGCGATGACCAGTTTCCAATGCATGATGTGGGTTGATGGTTCTAGAACGTGCGCGCGCGTTCCCATACAAACTTCAAGTGAATAGGGTTTCTTTGTGACGGCCTCGATTGCGTGAGTCAAAGCAGTTCAAGCAGGGTCAGCAGCGCGTGCTTCTTTTACAGCTCTGCAGCACTGGCTCTGGCCCGCGCATTAAAATAAAAAGTGAAATTAATAAACGATTTTCACACGTGCGTGCGGATACGATTGCTGAGGCATTCTTGCTCAGAGTATACACTGTGGTCGAGCTGTTGCACAGTGTACGAATCGCCAAGAGCCAAGTGATATCATTGAATTGTCGTCGCCTCCATCGCAAGTTGACGAGCGGCGTCCTGAGAAGGCAGCGTATTTTTATGACAATTAAATTCATTTTTAATCGTTTGGCCAAGAGGCGATGTCGTTGACGCGATGCCTCGTACAGAGAGCTGCCACGCGCCTTGCAAATCTAGTCCTTCAGAAATGCACTTGAACAACTATTCATTGGCGCACGCAACTTGGTTGGCACCACTTGTATGTGTCGCATGGACTGCATGGACTGCGCGACCTGGAAATTCTATATTTTTTGCGTATTATAATTTCGCGTTCCCGTCCGCAAAGTCGTCTTCGACAGCCTTCATTACACGTAAACATACCAAAGTTAAACTACGTGATTGGGTGCGTTTTACATAAAACGTACCAGACGTGTTTAACCAGGAACAACTCACTCGGACGACGACTCACAACCAGAGCTCGGTATTATTTTGGATATTAGCCTCGTATATTAATATAAATCGTATTAATCTTAATATATTATTGGATTAATCCTCCCTTGTTGTATCCAGCAAAAAATATTAGATGAGATTATTCTGGCAGCCGTGTATATTAATACGTATTAATATTTTTCAGGGTCGACGTGATTGGCTGTATTCATCAAAGCAATGTCGACTGCTCCCGACCCGGAGCGTTCGTCGCTTGACGAGATGGCCTCTGACCAAGAGGAAGACGTCGTGGAGTTCGACCAGCACGGCATTCCGGTCACTGTTACTCATACGGTGAACGGGGTTGTGCCAGTATGAACCTACGTCCACAAGCTCGACAAGAACCAAGTGTACGGGAACAAGACGTTCACGCATGTGTGTACCTTGTGCACGCGGGACGTTGCAACGCGCGAGGGGCCAGTCGACGCCTGGAAGACAGTCCTTGTGACCACGGTCCATACGAGCAACGCCTGCAAGCACATGGCGAATGCGCACAAGACGCACCCGTTCTCTGTCGACTACATTAAGGACAAACTCGAGAAGGCGGTCAAGCGACTTGCCGACTTTGACGCTGGTCAAGACGCGGCTCCGTCCAAGAAGCGTATGACGCAGCCGACATTGGAGACAATCATAGCCAAGGCAGCCCGGGGCGACTTCACTTTCGATCCAACTTGAATAACCTGTCTAGGTCTCGCGTTTAATATTATCGACAATGACCAGTTCCGTACTTTCGTTGCTTCGTTTGGCGGCACAGCGCCAACTCGGGCATCGTACAACGAAATCATTGAAGCCGAGTATGCCAAATTTACGACCACGGTGGCAAAAGCGCTGCACGACACGTTTGCGCTCTGCAAGAACATCAAGTTCCTCAGCCTTATGCACGACATGTACCTCGACGAAGGCAGCTCCGACGTCCTTGGTGCCTCCGTCGCCTTTATATCGGGCGAATGGCAGCTACACCACGTCGCGCTTATGGCCAAGGTGAACAGAGGCCACGAAGGTGCTCGACGCGTGGATTGCTCTATATATCGACTGGACTACGCACACGGAGGCCAACGTCATGGACGCCACGGGCAAATCCTTCGACATGTGGAAGTTGTACAAGGAAGTCGATGTTCTCAAGTGGTTCAAGGACGTCGGCCAGGTGATTTTTCCAAGCATCGCTGTCTTAGCCCGCGTGCATCTCGCAAAACCGATGTCGAACGCGTTTCAAGAGCGCGTTTTTTCGACTGTCAGCAACATTGTGACGGCAAAGCGCAACGCCGGTGACCCCGCTCGCGTGGGGAAGCTCATTGTGCTCAAGCAAAAGTGGACTGGCGACCGCCCTGACACGAAAGCGAAGAAGTGTCCAATGTTAGCGCCAATATTAATAACATATTAATATATTAATATGGCCCTACGAGTCACTGCTGGAAATATTAACCATAGTAATCCGA